TATACATATACATATACATATACATATACATATACACACACATACATACATACATATATTTAAAGTCACAACCCCTGGAATGCCCAAATATGGGAGGAAGGTCACACACTTATCAGCATAAATATAACATACATACATACACACACATATATATATATATATATATGATGAGCTGATGAGAGCTAAATAGCTTGAAATAGATCTATACTAGTCTCCCTTTATTTATTTATCAGCACAAATAACACACACACACACACACACACATATATATATATATAAAATTGTCCTATTATTAATTTTTTTGACAGATCATGTAGTATGATTTGAAAAAATGGTTTTAAATAAAATGCATCTGTAATTCAGGCCAGCGATGGTCAATTACAAATTGATCATCGAATCAATGAATTCTTAGTTTTGTTATTTTTACACTGAGTTGAAATGACTGTAATTGAACAATAAATTATTATTTTTTTAAAATATAATTGAAATGGGAGAAATTTCTTAGGAAGGTAAAAAATAAATTGGCACAACTATTGGTATAACCAGTTAGGGCAATAGCATGCTACTAATTCCAACAAATTGTTTTAAGTTTGCGGGTTGCTGAAAACGTTATTCATGTGGTTCAGATCAAATTAATTAATTTCATTCTAAGAAGGCACAGATTTCCACCATCTTTTGTCCACGGGCTTATTTCTAACTAGATATGCATAGGAATGTTCTTTTGAGGAATATCTGTAGTCTCGTGTAATTCATTCTAATTTTTTTTTATGATATTGAAATTTGTGCTTATATTTCAATTGCAGAAACATTATACTGGAGCCTGGGATGAAGCCAAAGCAAAAGGTTATGACTTTAAAGTGGATGCTCTTTCATTCAAACATGCAAAATCTTCCAGAGAAATTGCCAGTGAGGTATGAACTCTGTTATTTAAATGTTGCTTCTAAAATTACTGTATTATTTCATATCAAACATACGGCAGAGTGTGCTACTAGATATCTTCATCTGAAACACATAGATTCAACAAGTTGCTATTGTTCAAGGTTATTATATTTTTACATATATCCTCCATTTTTTTATATTTACTTATTTCAAAATTTGAGATTTTAACATCAGCTTATATTCAAGCTTTTAAAATTTTGTTTTATCCTAAACTGCCAAAGAGATAACAGGTGAGATATTTAAGTAAAATGAATATTTTATGCTCTAAAAGTTTTGAATTCAATATTACTTTCTCCTGCCATTTTAAAAAGGAGAAATCACTTTTAGTATATTGCTTTACAATCAGTTATTAAACTTATTATATATGGTTGATGTTCACTTACAAAACAACATTCCTAAATTCTAATGTGTTCAAATATTATTGAATGATTACTTATTAATGATGAAATTGACTTGTTCATTCATTTGAAGTCTCTGAATCATTAAAACACCAATTTTCACACTCTCTGGCATCATCCTAATCATTTCAATTGTTCATTGCTTTGCTTTTCTCTTCAGTATAAATACAAACAAACTTATGAGAAACAGAAAGGTCATTACATTGGAACCCCATCAGTCAAGGAGGATCCTAAGCTTTCATGGGCTGCTCGGGTAATGAAGATGCAAAATGACCGTCTCTATAAGCAAGCGTACCACAATTCAAAAGCCAAGATCACCATCCCCTACGAAATGGTGGCTATCCAGGCAGCCAAACAAGGGCAGGCTATAGCCAGCGACATTGATTATCATCGTTATCTGCACCAGTGGTCTTGTCTGCCAGATCAGAACGATGTGATCCAAGCAAAGAAAGCCTATGAACTTCAGAGTGATGTAAGTGCACCATTACAAGGTTACGTAGCTGCACCATGGTCAGGAACACAACAAAAAAGACCTTGAAGTGTGTAGGTGTAGAACTGATGCTTTGCACTTCAGCTTCCATTAACTTTCTCCCTGCCACATTAATCCCCATATCTGAAGAAAGTAAGATTTAGAAGGTGCTCTTGAAAATTATATTAATTCTACTTTTATTTCCTTGATTACATTGTTCCTTCACTGAAGTCTTCGTTGAGCGTAGCTAGCATTTGCAAGTCATATTAGAACACCATGGTGTGATGGTGGGAATATTTTTAAATGTTGATCACAGAGATAAGAATTTTCAAAGAGCTTTGGCTTCCCAAAGTGTAGATAACTCTAAAAAGCATTTGACCAACCAATCAGCACATTCTAAGAACCTTTTTAAATTTGCTGGCATAAATTGCACTAAATTAACTTATTTTGAATTTAGGGTATTGTATGATTGTACTGCAATTGATTCAGAAAGAGTTGTCTAGAATGTTTGGTGTACATTCCGTTTGAATTTTTGGTATTTTTGTTCCATTATCTATTTTGATTGTTTTGTTTCATAAGGATGATTAATCCATTTAAAAATAACTGAACCACATTAGTCAGGACTTTCTAATATCCTATTAATTCTATTTACCACATGAAATATTTGCTAAAAATATGAGTTTAATGAATTTATTTTTCTTGTGTGATCCATTTTCTCATAGAACTTGTATAAAGCTGATCTGGAATGGCTCCGTGGGATTGGATGGATGCCGGAAGGCTCTGTGGATGTGGTCAGAGTGAAAAGGGCACAAGATCTTGTGAATGAGAGGTTATACAAACTACGCCCAGACGCTCTGAAATTTACCAGTATACCTGACCCACCCCCAGTTGTCCTGGCTAAGGTCAATGCTCAACAGATCAGTGAGGTAAACTGATATCTAGTTACTACCTCTGAGTAATGTGACTGAAATATAATGGCCTTTAAAAAATTAGAAGGATTTACACAAAACAATTGACAATTATTGTTCCTTCCTTCCTTTCTTAGAAACTGTATCGTGAAGCATGGGATAATGAGAAGGCACAGATTAATATTCCTCTCGATACCCCTGAAATACTGCTCTCCAAGATGAATGCTGTGAATGTTAGCCATGTAAGACAATTTTATTTGTTAGCTTATAATCAAATTTAAACAGCCAGTCATCTGTCAGATGAAACTCTGCACAGTCAAAATATAATGTAGATATTAACAAGAAAACAAGAATGGCAGAACGTTGGTTGAGGCTCTCTCATTAAAAATGTAAAACACCTATAGCATGCATTCATTTGCGCACTCACATTTGCGAACCGGTAGCAAAGGTAAGTTTATTTCACCCTGGGTAAAATCATCCAGTGGTCTGATGTAGACGTTAATTAGAAATGTGGGGAAAAAACAGAAGAGCAGAGGTCTAGTGCAGGACATTTCCCATCTGAAATCAGCCATGAAAAAATGAAATCCATAGCATCTTTCTTCTCCCAAACTTCTCTGTCATCCTGGAAGGATACAATGATCAATGGTTTCTGAAGCCATTGAGAGAATTTTGAAATGGCACAAGGGAGATGTTTTTGTTTTGTAACTTTGGTTGAGAGGGCTAGTAAAAAGAACAAGATGTTCTGAGTGTAGCAAAAAACATGGTATTTTGGAATAGAGTTTTGTTACTTTAAGTTTTACAATTCCCTTTCTTGCATAGTTATATTATTGTCAATTCATAATAAGCGCCATTTGGTCTATTAATATAAATTCACAGTAGTGATATTAAACAAGTAAAATTGTTATAAGTTATTTAATCATGTGTGCATGCATACATATGCATGCAAATGTATATTGAATTCATGCAGTGTCCTTCCCATTATTTATTCTGAATATTCAAATTTTTCACATAACATATGAAACATAACATTTTCACACTGCATTTGTCTACAGATGTCTTCTGAAGGATAGTCAAATAGAAATAATGAGGTTTATTTCTGAGCATAGGACTTCATGTTTAATTGAGGGATATCTGTAGTTTATTTTCTTCCAGCCTTGAACATTGTTTATGTGTTTTAATTTCAGAAACATTATACTGGAGCCTGGGATGAAGCCAAAGCAAAAGGCTATGACTTTAAAGTTGATGCTCTTTCATTCAAGCATGCAAAAACTTCCAGAGAAATTGCCAGTGAGGTATGAGGCCTATTGTTTAAATATACAGTAGCTGCTGATATCACTGAATATTTTCACATCAGCATCTGGCATAAATGTGGAATTTATTTATTATATTTATCAATATAAACTTTATATTGATTCAACCACATACAAGGTACCGTACTGTAGAGTTTTGATGTTCTTGCACCATTATTTTTCTTATTGGTTGCTGCAGAAATAATATCTTAAAACAAATGAAAACAATTTCAGATAACTATGAAATATTTAATTTATATTGCGTTTGATTTGAAAGGGAATCTTTTATTCACAAACCACTTTGCATTTATTAAATATGTCATTTTAAGCCATGCTTTAAAAAGAAAATCACATTTTTTAAATATTGTTTTATAACGGTTTAATAAACTATATATGTTGTTGCATAATCCTAATCATGGCTCTTTTCTGTGCTTTTCTCTTCAGTATAAATACAAACAAACTTACGAGAGACAGAAAGGNAGTTCAAAAGCCAAGATCACCATCCCCTACGAAATGGTGGCTATCCAGGCAGCCAAACAAGGGCAGGCTATAGCCAGTGACATTGATTACCATCGTTATCTGCACCAGTGGTCTTGTCTGCCAGATCAGAACGATGTGATCCAAGCAAAGAAAGCTTATGAACTTCAGAGTGATGTAAGTATACCAGTGGCTTACAAGATTACGTAGCTGCACCATGGTCAGTAACACAACAAAAGTGACCTAGAAGTGTGTAGCTATAGAACAGGTCTTTGCACTTCAGCTTCCATTATCCCGACCCACATAATTTTATGTGGGTCTGCCACATTAATCCCCGTGTCTGAAGAATGTAAGTTTTAGAATGTATTCTTGAAAATTACCTTAATTCTACTTTTATATCCTTGATTACATTGTTCCTTCACTGAAATCTTTATTGAGTGTAGCTAGCCTTTGCATGTCATATTAGAACACCATGATGTGATGGATGAAATATTTTAAAATGTTTATCACAGAGATAAGAATTTTAAATGTGGTTTCATTTTTTAAAGTGATCATAGAAGAAATTTAGGACAAATCAGTTGGGCAGAGTCTAATACATTTTTAAAATTTCTTTGCTTATGTTTTACCGAGCTCTTGAATTTAGGGAGTTTTATGAATTCATATTAATTGATTCAGGGAGAGTTATTCAGAATCATTAGTGCATCATGCCATGACTGAATACGTTTCCTCCAGAGGTAGTATGCTGCCGGTTCATTCCGGTTTGGATGAACCAGTAGTGGCAGCGGCGCGAGGCTTCGCCCACCCACCCAGACATCATCAAGGAACTTCTGTGCATGCGCGCTCCCACTACCAAAATGGTAGTGAAGAAAATAGAATACCATTATTGGTTTGCTACGTACTTAATCAACAATATTAGCACATTTGAATTTTTTGGTATCTTTGTTCCAATATCTAATTTGACTATCTTTCATTTTTGTTGTTTCATAAGGAGGATTAATCCATTTAAAAATAATTCAACCATATTAATCAGGACTTTCTGATATCCTATTAATTCACTTACAAGATAAAAATATTTGCTAAAAATGTAAACTTCATCATTTTATTATTATTATTTGGACCCATTGTCTTATAGAATTTGTATAAATCTGATCTGGAATGGCTCCGTGGGATTGGATGGATGCCAGAAGGCTCTGTGGATGTGGTCAGAGTGAAAAGGGCTCAAGATCTCGTGAATGAGAGGTTGTACAAACTGCGTCCAGACGCTCTGAAATTTACCAGTATACCTGACCCACCCCCGGTTGTCCTGGCTAAGGTCAATGCACAACAGATCAGTGAGGTAAATTGAAATGTAGTTGCTACTACTGTATAATGTGGCTGAAATACATTGGCCTTTAAAAAATTAAAAGGATTTTCACAAAGCAATTGACAATTGTCTTTCCTTCCTTCCTTTCTTAGAACCTGTATCGTGAAGCGTGGGATAAAGAGAAGGCACAGATTAATATTCCTCTCGATACCCCTTCAATGCTGCTCTCCAAGATGAATGCTGTGAATGTTAGCAATGTAAGATAATTAACTAACCGTATACATTCTTTTGTTAAGCATATTACTATTCCTTTGTTTATTGCATTTTCTTAGTTATACCTTCCTGTTAGTTGCTGTTTATTTTCTTTTGTTAAGTATGAACCCCAATTTTTTTGGCTAAATCAATATAAATTCAAAACATTGTACAGTGGACATACTACTATAACAGCCATAAATAAGCTAACCATTTTGGACAAACAAGCTCCAAATATGATTGCCTAGCCTGAATTTCACCATTTCCATTGTATTTATGCAATGCTTGTCCCACTGCTCATTCTGAAAATTTATATTTTTCACACTTTACTCTTCAGTAGTGCCACACCTCAGTTGTCCCTGGGAGCAAAGTAAATTAATCATAGTGGTACCTATATCTAATATAGGCTCATAAGACTGTATGTTTAATTGAGAACTGTCCATAGTTTATTGTCATCCTGCATTTTCTGATTATATTGAAAAGTATACATGTATTCTAATTGCAGAAACATTACACTGGAGCCTGGGATGATGCCAAAGCAAAAGGTTATGACTTTAAAGTGGATGCTCTTTCATTCAAGCATGCAAAATCTTCCAGAGAAATTGCCAGTGAGGTATGAGCTCTGTTATTTAAATGTTGCCTCTAAAACAACTCTAACTTTTCATATCACACAGATGTCAGAGTATCAATTGATCCAACAATGTACAAGTTGCTATTGTTCAAGAATATGACATTTTTGTACTTATCTCCACTCTTTTTACATTTATGTGCTTAGAAATTTGAGATTTAAAATTGCATTAAAATCAAGTAGTTTAATGCATGTTTTATTCTGAATTGCCAAAAAAGCAACCGTTGAGATATTTCAGTAAAAGGAGTTTTTATACCCTAATGATGTTGGATTCAATGAATGTTATTTTCTATTGCCATTTTTCAAACAGCAACAAAGTTACTGTTGTTAAACATAGTCTTAGAATAGTTTAATAAACTACATTATTTTGATACATAAATTATAAAATATACTATTGAATGGTTTAGAATTATGAATTCTACCTGTTCCTTCACTCAAAGTCCTCCAGTCATTACTAATTTTCACACTAACTGGAACAATTCCTATCCTTTAATAGCTCTTTACTTTGCTTTTCTCTTTAGTATAAATACAAACAAACTTATGAGAGACAGAAAGGTCATTACATTGGAACCCCATCAGTCAAGGAGGATCCTAAGCTTTCATGGGCTGCTCGGGTAATGAAGATGCAAAATGACCGTCTCTATAAGCAAGCGTACCATAGTTCAAAAGCCAAGATCACCATCCCCTACGAAATGGTGGCTATCCAGGCAGCCAAACAAGGGCAGGCTTTAGCCAGCGACATTGATTACCATCGTTATCTGCACCAGTGGTCTTGTCTGCCGGATCAGAATGATGTGATCCAAGCAAAGAAAGCATATGAACTTCAGAGTGATGTAAGTACACCAGTGGTTTACAAGATTACGTTGATGCATCATAGTCAGGCACAGAACAAAAGCTATGAAGTACATAGGTATAGAACAGATGTATTGCAATTCAACTTACATTATCCCTGTCAGTGTGAATGTATTGAGAATTCGAATGCTCATATCTGAATAACGCAATTTGGAAGAGGTGTTTTTGAGGACTATCTTAATTCTACTTTTGTTTTCTATGATTACATCTGCCAAAAATTATGATCAGAAATATTGTTCCTTCATTGACATATTCACTGAACGAAGTTAATCTTGGCAGGCCCTATGGGAAAACCATACTGGTGGTAGTGAAAATATTTTAAAGTGACTTATTACTTAGATAATAATTTTCTAAAATGTCACATATAGCAAATTTACCAATTACCTAGTGGATGCAGTTGAGTATCATTTTTAAACCTGCTTTCTCAATTCATTTAATTGTAATTCAGTGGAGTGTATATGTTTGTTCAGAGATATAGAAAGACTTATGCAGCCTGTTTTGGATATTATGCCAAACTTTGGGATGCTTTCTAGTCACTTAATCCAGGTAATTAATACAGATGGAAAGTGCTGTTAATGTCAGAGGATGTATGACTATTTCTAACTTCATTTGTCCAATTTATCAACCTTTTGCCTTTGAACAAAGAAAGTAAAGAACACTAATTATTAAAAGAATTAATTATAAATTGGTCAGAATTGATGTCCCATTAGTTGTCATCACATAAGTGTTTATTTTATAAAAAAATTAACTACCTTACCCCTCCACTTTCTGATGTGCTATCTCATAGGCTGTGTATAAGTCAGATCTAGAATGGCTCCGTGGGATTGGATGGATGCCAAGTGGGTCTCCAATAGTGAACAGAGTTAAATTTGCCCAGGAAATCCTGAGTGACAATGTATACCGCACTCCTGCTGACCGTCTGAAGTTCACCAACATTGTTGACACACCGGACGTTCTCCTTGCTAAAACCAACGCGGCACAAATCAGTATTGTATGTTAATTCTTTTCAGTAGCTTAACAAACAATCAGGACAATAAGTCCTATTAATTTTTTTATATCAGTTTATATGAAATTAGTTTTCTCCCTTCAAAAGTTAAAATGTAATTAGATAAGAATAACACCAAATAAATAAGTAACCACTTCTTTATTTTGTATAGCCTAAATACCGAGAAGTTTGGGATAAAGATAAAGTTATGATCCATGTGATGCCTGATACACCTGAAATAATGCTTTCCAAGGCCAATTCCATCAACGTAAGCAAAGTAAGTATAGTTCTACCATACTTGCTAAGATCTTTAGATTAAAACTGCTTTATACATTGCTTTTCCCCATCTTATAACACCTTAGTTTTCTACTTTCTAAGGCTTCTGCTTTCATAGTTTTTTTGAAACAAAATGGACACTTGAGACAAAATGTGAGGAATACCAGTTGGATAATTATAGTTGAATTTCTTAGTAACATTTTGGCCACCTGTGAAATATTATTGCAGATGAATTCATTATGACAATAGTGCTGTTTTTTATACTTTGCAAACTGTTGGTTGCCTTGTGCAATATTTTCAATGCTTTGACTGAAACTTTGTTTGGATACAATGTCATATATAATCATATATATTCTATATTATACCAGAATACATGGCCTAACCTGGAGGCTGATCTTTTTTTTATTGACAAACATGTAAAATACACACACACACAAAACTTAGACGTACACCACATTTACACAATACAATACGAACAGGAGCTTCCTGTTCTTTCTAATAGCAATTCAATCGATACCGCTCACTTATATTATTTCCCCTTCTATTGTATTTCATTTGGTTTTCACCATTCTTAGCCCTCTTATTTTACACATAACTATTATTTTTGAG